GGTGGGGAGGTGGTGTGGTGGGGAGGGAGGTGGTGTGGTGGGGAGGTGGTGTGGTGGGAGGGAGGTGGTGTGGTGTGGTGGGAGGTGGTGTGGTGGGGAGGGGTGTGGTGGGGGAAGGTGGTGTGGTGGGGGGAGGTGGTGTGTGGGGAGGGAGGTCGTGTGTGGGGAGGGAGGTGGTGTGGTGGGGGGGAGGTGTGGTGGGAGGTGTGTGGTGGGGGGGAGGTGGTGTGGGGGGAGAGAGGTGTGTGTGGTGGGGGAGGTAGTGTGGTGGGGGGAGGAGGTGGTGTGGTGGGGGAGGTGTGGTGGGAGGTGGTGTGGTGGGGGGGGAGGTGGTGTGGTGGGGGAGGTGTGTGTGGTGGGGGAGGTAGTGTGGGGGGGGGAGGAGGTGTGTGGTGGGGGGAGGTGTGGTGGTGGTGTGGTGGGGGGGAGGTGGTGTGGTGGGGAGGGAGGTGTGTGTGGTGGGGGGAGGTAGTGTGGTGGGGAGGGAGGTGGTGTGGTGGGGGGAGGTGTGGTGGGAGGTGGTGTGGTGGGGGGGGAGGTGGTGTGGTGGGGAGGGAGGTGTGTGTGGTGGGGGGAGGTAGTGTGGTGGGGGGGAGGAGGTGGTGTGGTGGGGGGGAGGTGTGGTGGGAGGTGGTGTGGTGGGGGGGGAGGTGGTGTGGTGGGGAGGGAGGTGTGTGTGGTGGGGGGAGGTAGTGTGGTGGGGAGGGAGGTGGTGTGGTGGGGGGGGAGGTGTGGTGGGAGGTGGTGTGGTGGGGGGGGAGGTGGTGTGGTGGGGAGGGAGGGAGGTGTGTGTGGTGGGGGGAGGTAGTGTGGTGGGGGGGAGGAGGTGGTGTGAGAAGTGTCGCTGTCCCAGGCGACGGGCGAACCCGCACGACGACTCGGCCCCGAGAGGCTGGAGCGGCGGTGGGGACAGAACACACACACAGACACACAGACACACACACAGAACACACACACAGACACACAGAACACACACATAGACACACAGACACACAGACATAGACACACAGAACACACACAGACACACAGAACACACACATAGACACACAGACACACAGACATAGACACACAGAACACACACACAGACACACAGAACACACACATAGACACACAGACACACAGACATAGACACACAGAACACACACACAGACATAGACACAGACAGACACACAGACATAGACACACACACAGACACAGAACACACACACAGAACACACACACAGACAGACAGACACACACAGACACACAGACACAGACACACAGACATAGACACACAGAACACACACACAGACACACAGACACACACACAGAACACACACACAGACACACAGAACACACACACAGACACACAGAACACACACACAGACACACAGACACACACACAGAACACACACACAGACACACAGAACACACACATAGACACACAGACACACAGACATAGACACACAGAACACACACACAGACACACAGAACACACACATAGACACACAGACACACAGACATAGACACACAGAACACACACACAGACATAGACACAGACAGACACACAGACATAGACACACACACAGACACACAGAACACACACACAGAACACACACACAGACAGACAGACACACACAGACACACAGACACAGACACACAGACATAGACACACAGAACACACACACAGACACACAGAACACACACACACACACAGACACACACACAGAACACACACACAGACACACAGAACACACACACAGACACACAGAACACACACACACAGACACACACACAGAACACACACACAGACACACAGAACACACACATAGACACACAGAATACACACACAGACATAGACACAGACAGACACACAGACATAGACACACACACAGACACACAGAACACACACACAGAACACACACACAGACATATACACACAGACACAGACACACAGACACACAGACACACAGAACACACACACAGACATAGACACAGACAGACACACAGACAGACACAGACAGACACAGACACAGACAGACACAGACATAGACACAGACAGACATACAGACACAGACACAGACAGACATAGACACAGACAGATACAGACACAGACGCACAGACAGCTACGAGGTTCTCACCGTGCGGGTCGCGACCTGCCTCACCCAACCGGACACAACCGAGAGAGAGAGAGACGCTAACATCGATCAACATCAGCAGCAGACAACGACGACAGAACCACGCCGGTGAGATCGATGATTGTATTGTACGTCGATGATTGTATTGTACGTCGATGATTGTAATTTTTTTAGGCCTTTGCAACATGCGCGTTTTTTTCTTTCTCGCGAGCCGAGTGAGTAAATTCTGCCAATCGGCGTGTTGTACACGGTTGATAGCGACTTCCAGCACGCAGGGGGAGACAAAGGCGGCCGGGAGTGGGGATCGCATCGCTCACGTGCCGTGTTGGCTCAACCTCCATCGGTGCTGCTCGCTAAAAGCACTTGCCCCAACAGTCTGTTTAGGGCTACACGGGGCATCTTTGTCTTTGGATACACAATTATAAATGGGGTGATCAAAATTTTGATTTAAAGATTTCGCGACTGCAGGGATTCATATTCTTGGTTCTATCGGTAAAGTCACGTATAAGGGAAATAATAAAATAATAAAAATAGAAAACAATATAATAATATATTGATTTATATTTATAGAATGTTTATTATTTCATTATTTCCCTTCTACGTGACTTTACCGAAAGAACCAAGAATATGGGGTGATCTAGTCAAGTTTACCTCATGGATGGCAACACAGTAAACCCGTGTCCGCTTCGCATCTGTGTTATTAACGGGAGACATGGTGAGGATGTTAATGAATTAGAAACACAAATCCTGGATGGAGGAACGTTGCTTTTGTTTTCACGAGGGAGTGGATGAGGATGTCTATGGAGATCATTGTGTAGAATTAACCTTTAATGATGTGGGTTTGCCAGTGTTCAGCTCCACGTTTATACTGATGTGCAACGTTTAATATCATTCGTATCTTCAACCTTTTCGAATGCAAAAATAACCATGTTGTCCAGATTATAAGGCGCTCCTGAAACTATGTTGTTTACGGGGTAAGGCCCACTTAGCTATATAGCTCCTTTTCAGAACCGACATGGCCACGCATGACAGTTCAACGAAGTAGCGTATCACGTGCAAAAGTCTAACAGGAGAATACAACAAACGCATGATTATAAACGTGGAGGGAAATGCCGGATAAAAAACATCCACGCGACTACGGGGAGAACACGTGATTGAACCCACGACATCCTGTAGACCAGGCGAGGTAGTTAACATCTGGCCACCGTGAAAATAAGACACACTCCACACTTATGCCTGGTGTCAACAAAAGGACTGTATCCAAATTTGCCCAGTGGTGATGTCCACTCGTGTCTCCCACCAAAGACAAAGATCCCTCGTGTAGTCTTAACAGATTGTTGGGGTAAGTGCTGTTAACGAGCACTTACGAATGCCGGTACGGCACACAAGGGAATGGGTCGCTATAACCACACCTGGCTGCCTTTGTCTCCCTAGTGGATGATGTTTACACACCGCACTAAGATACTCATTTGAGACTCAGCTGACGTCGGGTAAGCCTGGGACCGGTTCAGATAATCGTCACTGGTGTTGGCCGTGAGCGGGAATCGATCTCGGGTTGGTGGCCAGGTTCCATAGAGCATAATGCTCACCACTACTCCACCGCTCACCCCTGTAACAATCTCACACACGCACACTCACCACCCCCTTTTTTGGGCTCAACACACTTGTCAACAACACCGTAGCCATAACAAACTAATGTACGACATTTCGGGCAATGGTACTTTTTTAACAGCACATTATTTCGTTGTTAAGCTTAGTGAATTGTATTTGTGCACCGCTGCCAACGCAGCAGCAGCAGCATCAAATCATTCATTTTAAACAGTCGTGTTCCAAGGTGTCTCCTCGCAGAAGTCCAGTTCAACGTCATTAATAGTGGAGATGTGTGGGGGGTGGTGGGGGTTAAACTTTCTTCACACACCTGTACGGGGACACCTCCCAACGCCTTAATGTGTTTTTAATCGGTGTCAAAGAGTGACTGCGTCGGCGCCGATAAGATCGCGAGCGATAAGAACGACCCCGCGAGTTCATCGGGGAGACGAACTCCCGCGGACGTTCAGAGTCTGCGCGTGCTGATTCACGCGCGGTCTTGGTGATGAACGATCGCGCGCACGAGTTGGGACCCGTGGACATTCCGGTCGTGTCCAGGGAAGCGCTCGGAACGGATAAGACGTTGCCTGGCGCATCGCACGCACGCACGCGCGCCTTATCGTGGGGTCGATGTAAGTTTGAGCGTAGACGCATTAAAAATTGTTTTTATCGCCGAAACCAGTCCGACGTGATTCGAAGTCGCATGCTGGACGCTTCATCGTCATCGCCCATTGGTCAATCCACTGTGGGATGGAGTTCTCCTAGACGCAGCCGTCGACCACGATCCATCGGCGAATGTTGTTGACGAATCTACCCCGCATCTGCGCAAGAACACATCACAACTGAAGTCAACTGATGTCATCATAAGACCTCCCTGAGTGGACATCCCTCGCGAAACGCTTAAAATAGGACCCCCCCCACCCCCCCAACATCGGCGAACCAACTACAGTGGTACCCCGGAGATCGAACTTAATTCGTTCCAGACGGCCATTCGAAAACCGATTTGTTCGAACACCGAATTCATTTTCCCCATAAGAATTAATGTAAATGACATTAATTGGTTCCAGACACAAGAAAGCTCTCATTATAACGCATTTTTACACAAAGTTTACAGTAATTACATGCATAAAATCATACAAAAAACAAGAAACACAATAAATAAATGGAATAAATGAATAAATATATGGAATAAATGAAATGAATGAACATTGAACTTCACTTTACCTGTAGTAAGGAGAGTTAATGGCTTGAGTGGAAGGTGGTGAGGAGGAGGTGGTAAAACCTTTGTCTGGGCAAGCGTCATGCACGCTGGCCATACGCGTCTCAGCCGTACAGGTTCTTTCAAGTCGCGATTGCCCGTTCGACCTCCGAATTTCGTTCGGTTTCCGGGGCAAAAAATGTTCGGAAATATCGTTCGAACACCGATTTGTTCGAGTTCTGCAGCGTTCGATCTCCGAGGTTCTACTGTAATTTGCCTCTTGTGGAGAGTGATTCCAAGGCCTATAGAAAGTAGGTAGGGGCCCTACCACTAGTTTTACGCAGGTAGAAGGCCGATACTATTCATCCAAATCAGTTCAAGCCTCCAGTCAGCTCACCTCTGCTCGTCGTTCCTTGATTCTCTCTCCCTCTCTCTTCGCTCCCCTATCCGTCACCACACTCTCACCCCCCCTCTCTCATCTCGGCACAGTCATCCCTTCTCCCCTGCCTTCCTCCCCCTTCCCGTCCGAGTGCTGCTCCTGTGTTCCTGCTGTTCATCTCGAGTCGTTCCCCTCGCTTTATCCGTCTCGGGGACTTCCGTTCCCGCATCCCTTCCCTTTCCTGCCGCCCTTTTCGTTTTTTTCCCATTCACAATTTCCGTGCCTCTTACTCTCCTTACCGTGGTGTGCTATGAGTAACGTGTTTTTAAATGCTTTTCTCAATGCTGGGGGATGTGTGGAATGAGCTGCCGCGTTATTGTTGAACGCCTGTCAAAGTGTTCACGTGAATGAAGGTGACGACGATTGCTTGCGTTGCGATCGAAACGTCGTGATCGATTATGTTTTCTACCCACGTGACTTTACCGAAAGAACCAAAGAGTATGGATTCCTGCAGTCACGAAAGCTTCAAATCAAGAGTGAATGAAGGGGGTTGCACTTATTATTTTTTCTTGAATGCATAACGATGATTAAATAATGACTAACGTGTTATCGTGTCTCTGAGGCTGGATATCGGTGCCGAAACAAAGTGCATGAAAATTCATGGATTTTTTTTTACTGAATTAAATTATCCTAAGTACCTAGTCCATCCCGTGCCACCGAACACATTTGGCAGACCCTATGCCACCGCTCGTCACACGGCCTCGTGCCATTACTCAGAGCGCCTGCCACGTGTGACGCCTGCGAAACAACGTACGGCTTCGGTGGCAGGGCGCGAGTGGAGGCGACATCCTTCTGCGCTGCTCGGGTTCCACCGCATTAGCGGTCATCCTCATCCCCGCTCGCCATTTCCTGTGACCCTACTTAGAGGCCGCCATCCAGCAGTAGATTGACGCCACGGCTGCATGCCGTGCGGCAGTCGCGAGCCCGTCGGTTCGGGCGACGGCCTTGCGATGACCGATGCGACTGATGGCTGTCGCGTACGTCGATGGACACCGTTCCTTTGTGCAAATCAACAACGTTGTTCCGTTCGCAGCGTTCGGTTCATTTTTTAGAACATTTTACCCAAAAGCAGGCAACGTCATCAGGCGCGGTAAACCCACTGCTGGATGACGGCCTCCACAGCGCGCAGCCACTTCTCACGATCCCGCCAGATGGAATAATACCACAGCGAGCTTCTACGCACGTGCGTAATGTTGAACTTCTTTCGCACCGTACGTAGCTAACCGTGCAAATCGGAGATGCGGGCGGGCGGGGGGGGGGGGGCGGCAACACATTAAACAATCATAAAAGCAGTTCAATTTAGATGTAAAAGTGCACAGCACCGCTGGCTTCCCCGTACCGGAAGGAAGATGGTTCCAGACGGGCCGCAGGAGCGCATTTGAAAGCGCGCGGTGGAAGTGACCGCGGATTCTATCGCTCCAGCTTTCCGTGGTGCGGTGTGGAGGGGGGGGGGGTCCTCCATGAGGGGAGGGGGGCACGGGGGGGGCAATGCCCCGCCCAAACTGGTCACCTTAATGAATTCATTTTCAGCAGTTAACAATTAATATAATTAAGTGATTATGTTATATATTATTTGGGTCTTTCGGTAGAGTCACGTAGGTAGGTTCAAAGAAAATAACAAAAAAATAACAACAATTATATAAATCCGCGAATTCCTAACGCGACGGACAAAGTGCATCCCATAGCCCCCCTCTCCCCCATACAGAAGTCAAACTCCGCCTGTGGGTTCGTTCCTCTCTGCGTGGTGGAGGGATCGTATCCACGAGGTGGCGGGAAAGACACGCCGTGTTGGCGTCAAAGCCACTCGTGATGCCAACATCCTCTTTAAAAAATACACATATATACTGTAATAAGTTGTGGTCGCTGAGCCAAGTTTACACCACG